GGAAAGATGGGGAAGAACAGAAACCAAATATCCTTCAACAAGCTTCCTTGCAACCCCCAGTACACACCAACCCCGCACACCCCACAGAGCACTGGCCCTCCCAAGACAGGGGCCACAAGGAGCCTCTGGCACAGGCCTTTGGCAGGGAGAAGACAATGGACTCTGGTTTGGAAAATAAGAGCTAGAACCGGCCATTTTATTCCAAGACCGTTCACTGAGGGTTGGAGGGTAGCAGGAATAAATAAGGGACTGGGGGCAGGGCGGCAGGGGTTGCTCTATGTTCTGCAGCATAACCCACACGTTGCTTTATAACAGCAGCCGCAGCAGAACGTGCAGATGGGGAAGTGGGTGTCTCGTCTCAGCCTCTGGAGCACGGGCTGTGGGAAAGAAGGGCAGTGAGCGGGGCGTAGGCATGGGAAGGCGTGGGAGGCTCTGAAGGGAGTGCCAGGGGACCTCACCGTCAAGCCAGCTGCGGCTCTTGCTGTGTCCTGGGTCTGGAGGTCTGCAAGCTGTCTTGTCTGTGAAAGCAAAAGGGGAATTGAGGACGGCAGGGCCCCGGCAGAGCTCTCAGTCTCGCTCCCACTGACCAGCTCCTCCCCAGGGGTTGCCGTCCGCTGGTTCAGCTGGAATCCTAGGAGTGGCCTTACTTTGTGGCCTTTCTGCACCTTCCCACGGGTGGCTCTCCTGCCTACAAACATCCCAGATCTGTCTTCTCTCTCCACAGCTGCTCACTCTTCCGTAGCACTCTCCGTGGCCTGGATGCCAGTCCCTGCCTGTATCTTGTCCCTTACAACCCGTTCCCAATGTGTTATCCGTCAGATCTCGGCTTAAAAGCCTGCAGGGCTTCCCCTGTGCTTGGAGGAAGATCAGCGTTTGCACAGTTGCCCACAAGACGTGGCATGGCCACCCCTTGGTCTCATCTCCAAGCACCATCTCCTTCCCTTACCAAGCCCTCTGGTCCTCAGGTACACCATGCTTGCCCCACCTTGGTCTTGGCTGGCTGCCCCCTTCTCTTCCCCTCCCTGTCATAGGTCAAATAACATTTTCTCACAAAAGAGCCAGCCCTTGATGCCATCTAAAGAAGCCAACCCACATCATCACTCTCCCACCATCTTTTATGTTATTCACGAATAGCATTTACTAAACACAAGTGTTTACTTGTTTTAAGTTCACTGACTCATTTCCCTGACCAGGATGTAAGCTCCACGAGAATATTCTTCTCTCATCTACCTTGTTCACTGCTTGGTCACCACTGTCTAGAAGAGGAAAGAGGACTTAACACAGAGTAGGCCCTCAATAAACGACTGTGGAATTAGATCAGGGCCCCCCAGTCCCTGCCACTCACTACCCCATCTCTGCACTTCGAGCAGCTGCCTGTCCCCCTTTGCTTGCCCTGAGCTCTGGCCCGTGCTGGGGTCTCCTGCTGCCCTCCGCTGTCCCCTCCCAGGGGCCTGGCTCTCCGTTGCGATTCTGGCTGCCCTCCTGGGCCCAGACCCTATGGGCTCTCACCGGGGGCGGGAGAACGAAGCCACTGGTCAGGCTGACCAGGAGAAGCAGGAGGCAGGCGGCCCGGATCTGCGTGTTCAGTGCCATTGCGCCGTCCGTCTGGCTGTCCTTCTGTTACGTCTAGGACTTGCTCTGGTGTCTGGGAGCCCAGTTACAGTTGCTTTTATGGGGCCTCCTGGGGGAGGGGGGCGGGGATGCTAAGCCCCCTCCCCTTTGGCCCAACTCATTTCCAAGAAGGTGGTGGCGCCGAAAAGGCGGGAGAGATAAGCGGGAACAGTGACAGGGAACAGGGTTGTGTCACCCTCAGCCAGCAGAGGTGTGTCCAGGAGGTGGGACAGACGCGACCACAGACACACGCCTCTTGCCAGCCACCTGGGAAACACTTTCCCCAACATGACATCACCCTGTTGATTTCAGAAAAAATTCCACCTTTTGCCCCAGCAGCTGAACTGGTCGATGAGCAGGAGTGAAGCGCCCTCCTTCCCCACCCTTCCCCGGCCTCCTCATTCACATGCTGTCACTTGCCGGGGAGGGAACACCGTGACGGCCACGTGCAGGAGTCTGTGTCAACAGGGGCCCCCAGAACACGTATGGGGTCTTTTTGTGTGTGTGTGTAGACTTTTCAAGTCTTTATTGAATGTGTTACAATATTGCTTCTGTTTTGTTTTGGTTTTTTGGCCATGAGGCCTGTGGGATCTTAGTTCCCCGACCAGAGATGGAACCCGCACCCGCTACATTGGAAGGCAAAGTCTTAACCACTGGACCTCCAGGGAAGCACCACCTGTAGGGTTTTTCAAGTGTCAGAAACTTAAGATGTGGCCCTGGTATCTGGGAAATGTTCCTGCGAACTTTTGGCCAAAAAAGACAGTGGTGACAGTAATAGCTAACATCTGACTGCACCTTATGAGCCGGCAGGTGTATTGACTCGCTGTTGGGTTAACTCAGCCTGTGCCACCTATCCTCTGAGCAGCTCCTACCTGACCCATCCTGGGCTCTGCTCTGTATTCAGGGTGCTAGCTGCCTTCTCAGCCACTGACCCCAGGGGCCAGGCTTCCTAGATCCTGCTCCTGAGAGAGGAGCCCACCATGCCCACCTGAGACTTCCTTTCTTCACTTTTCAGGAGAGGAGCTGAAGACAAAGATGAGGGCACTGCCCAAGCTCGGTCAGCCAGAGGCAGTCGGGACTTCAGCCCGGGCAGCCTGACTGGGGCCTGTGCCCCTGACTGGGGCCTGTGACTGGGAGGCTTTCCTGCCTCCCAAAAAACACAGGAGGGCACGGTGGGTCTGCTGGACCTGGCTCATATGGCTCAATGAGCAGATTGTGCACGTCCCATCCCAACTCCAAAGTTATGGGCATCGTGTTGGCACCTTGAAACCCGCTGATGTGGGAGTACTTACACCACAGACGTTGGCAAACACTAACAACCCAGGTTTTCCTTCGGAGGGCCGGCTCCCCGCCCACCATGGGAAGGGGAGCTGAGCCGAGGCTACCTGACTGCGGCAACCTCATTGCTACCCATGACCTGAACCATCTTAGAGTGCACACGGCCCAGGAGAACAGCAAACCTTGACTCCAGAGATGGCCCCTTGGCCATTTTCCCTCTCCGACTCACTCTAGGGCCATCCAGTGTTAACCCTACGAGCCTGGGGATGGTGCCATCAAGGAATGAACTCTTCTGGCCCCAAACTGCTGCCAGGGCCACTCAAAGAGCACAAAAGTGGGGCCCCTGGGAAGTAATGCTGTTCCCTGCCATTTGCCTCCCCACTCACTCTATGTTAGGCCCCTCCGGCTGCACACCACCTCACTCTCAGACAGAGGAGGAAAGGAGACAGGGCTCTTGGAAGGAAGAAACCAGCTGGGGGCATCTGGGATGGGCGCAGCGTGGCGAGCTCAGTCAGGTGACCAGGCCTAGATGCTGGGAGTGGCTGGAGTTGCACGGGGGGACACAGCAGCATCCCCCAGCACTGCCAGGCACCACTGCATCTCAACTCAGGCCAGGTTTCATCATCAACCAGGGGCAGGGGTCACAGCACAGGCGCCAGAGTTGCAGTGCAAGGCGACAGGCTGACGGGCCAAGCCTGGCTTCCTGGCCAACTGCCCTCCCTGGGGGTGGGGGTGCTCAAGGCCAGGCCCCACCATTGGCTGATGCAGAGGGGAGGGCGTCAGCCCAGAAGAGCAGGGCCAGGAGCCAGTCCTGTTTAGGAACTGGTGACACGGAAGACCCCAGCCTCTCCTCCAAACACATGAGACATGTCCTTGACCCTGGCTCCCCCTGTCCCCCACACCACATATGCAACACCTGGGGCCTCCACGAGGCTATTCATTCCTTAATTCCTTTGTCCACACAACCAACGGACTGGGTACCAGGCGGTACTGGATGGCAGGGACCAGCACACAGCCACGAACACAAGAGGGAGGCCCTGCCCTCAGGAGCCCTGCACAGACCCCAGACTCCCTCCCCACACCTGAGATGGACAGATACACAGACAGACAAGGCGGGGCCACATGGGGCCAGTTTATTGCAGTTAAATACCTCTTTCTCTCTCTATTTTTTTTTGTCCATTTTTTTCCATAAAGAAAATTAGAACACACTCACACACCCAAAGAGGAGCAGGGTTCCAGAAACAAGAGGTGGGGTGGGACATGGCCTCCCTGCTTAGGTCCAGGCCCCAGGGCTGGCCCCCCAAAGGCTCCCCTCCTTCCCATAAGCACCCTGTCTCAGTACCTCTAGAGTCCAAGGAGGCAGTGGGGTATGGCAGGGGCTCTGTCCTCCTTCCTCTTGCCTCCAGGTGAGACCACTAGAAGTGCCAGGGCTGAGTAGGGGCCGGGAGAAGGGAGACAGACAGACAGACGGGCAGGGAGGATATTGTTTCCAAGTTGAGGAGAGCAGTGGGTGCTTATCCACAGAAATTCATTATTTCTCCCCGTTTTTTGTTAAAAATCTACTATAAAAAACGCAGCTGGGGGAGGGGCGTCTGTCCCTCTCTGTGCTAAGGGCTGGGGAAAGGGACGGCAGGGGCCCGGAGGCAGCCCGCGCCGCACGCGGCAGACAGCGTCACTGCCGGGCGCTCTCGCCCACCATCTCCAGGTTGTGCTGCTGCAGCTGGGCGCGGAGCACGGCGTTCTCGTTCTTCAGCTCCTCGATCTGCCAGACACGACGGGGCACAGGCAGCCGGGGCTGGCTCCCCGCGTCCTGGGGTTCCTGGGCGCGCCTCGCCACCCGCCCAGGCCTGCCGCTCACCTGCTGCCTCAGGAGCTCACTGTCCATCTGCAGCCGCTCGGCCTCCTTGAAGGCCTCCTGCATGCGCTGGTTGGTCTGGCGCAGCTCCCGGATGTAGTCGCAGGCCTTCGACAGGATCCCTCCTTTACTCTGGGGGGTGGGCATGAGCATCAGCACCGCCCGCTGGCCGCCGCCCGCCGCCGACCACCGGCTCGGCCCCGGGCGGCTCCCGCCTCTGGCAGCCAGGCAGACTCCCCGCAAGGGGTCGGGGACGGGCCACCACAGCACTGAGGGCCGGAGGGCACTCACCGCTCCTGTCTTGCTGTTATCTGCATTACAATCTGGAATGATTTTTGAAAGCTGGACGATCCAGTTGTTGATCTTGTCCCTCCGCCTCCGCTCCACTGCAGCAAGGACAGCAAGAACGAGGCTATGTTCGCAGCGCTCCCTCTGTGCCCGGGCGACTCACCTCCTAAGGCAGATGCCACGAGAGCCGAGGCCACCCAAGGGCACACCGCCAGCAAGTGCGGGGCTCCGATCTGAACCCAGGCAGCTGGCTCCAGCCCGCTCCACGTCGCTCCTCAAGAGGAACCCTCAAGTGCCACACGTACCTCAAGGCAGAATCGACAGCTGGGGCTGCAGGGTTCGCTTTACCTGCCCAGCGTGTTTTCAAAAATTTGATTCAACATTTAAAAATTAGGAAACTTCACCTAACAGTTGGCCTCTTTTGAAAACTGGAGCTGTGGCCACAGTGGGCACGTGTTCTTGGCAGGCAAGAACGGGCCAGAGCCCTTTACACAGGACCCGGGCACCCTTCTGCAGTCCCCACGGCCCCTGCATTTGATTCTCCATGGTGCTCAGGTCTCCCCACAGCTCTGGGCCCCATGATCCTATTTCTCTTTTCATCTTTAAAATCACGGTCTGACCACGTCTCACCTCCACTGGAAGTCCTTTTCCAGGGCTCCCGCAGCAAGTCTCAGCTTCCCCAGCTGGCACTGAGGCTCTCAGGGGCCTGGCCCATCAGGGCACTGGGTCACCCAGAAAGAAATGCTACGAACCCTCTCTTGAAGGCCAGGTTTGACAAACTACTGGCAGATTTCACTTGAAAAGTCCAGATTTGTGATTTATTTCATAAAACACCACAATCTCACTCTGTCTGCTGAGTTGCGGGGAAGCTGCCCCCTTCAGGCAGGACTCGTATGTGTCTTTGCCCTGTCTTCTCATCTGGCCTGTCACGACCTATGACGGCGGCCTGGGGTCTGCCTGCACGGCAGCCTGAGACCCCTGGTTTGGAGGTCACTGAACAAAGCTATCCCAGCCCTTCGTACTAGGCAACTGCTGGGGACACACAAGAAAGCCCAGCTGCCCCTGCGACTCTCACCCACATACTCTCATCGCCCTGCCAGGGCAGCCCATGGACAAATGCAGGTGGTGTCTACAGAGGAGCGGGGACTGTAGCTCGGACCTGGCAAGGAGGGCAAAGGGGTATTTTCTCAGGGTTGGGAGACTGGGGGAGGGGTCGGGTGAGCGTGAGAAAGATGGAGTGGGCCTGAAGCTTGCCCCTGACTCCTCCCCTCCGCTGAGGCCAGCCCCACCCCTCGACCCGGCTGCTCCCGCAAAGGATGGGCCTGGCCACTAACAGGCACATCCAACCGTCTTCTCCGGCACTTGCTTTTGCCCACTCGCTGCTGACCGAGCCCCCCACTTTGGCCTCGGTGACAACACCCTCTCACGTGGACTCGCTTCCTCCCTCACTATCCTCTCTTTCCGCCGAAACCTCCCCCTACCACGGTAAGACTGATGCCCAGTACTGAGCTTCGCCTGACCCTGGCCCTGGGGTCAGCGAGTGCACAGACCTGAACCCCATCACTACTGTGGTGAGTGAACCTTCCCAGCGAGGACGACCCTGTCTTACGGTCTTTGGGGACTCTGTGGTCCAAAACAGCAGGGGAGCTAAGGGTCTGCCCAGGTCTGGCAGCCCTGGCCACCACGTCCCTCAGCAGCGCGCTCCACTCTAGGGGTTCAGCTGAGGAGCTCTAGAGCAGATGGCTGCCCAGGTCCTTCCCCTACCCTCCCGCATCCCGACATTCCTGAGCCTGGGCTCCACGCTGCAGCTGCATCCCACACACACTCCTCACTTCAAGCCACCGGGGGCAGGGATGGGGGGCGGGGGACAGCAGTTCGCATTTGCTTCTTCAAAACTTACCGCCTGCCCTACTGTGTGCAGGGCACTCCGCGAGGCTGAAGTCCACGGTGGACTCAACCTCTGTCCTGCTGGCACTCACAGCACCAGCGTGACATGCACGTGAACAGGAGACACTGACGCCACAGGACTGTGTGTTATAACTGAAGACAGTATCAAGTGCCTGGGGAACACCAGGGTGGAACGATGCATTCTGCATGGAGTGAGGTGGGGTATATCTTCAGAGAAGGATTTAGAAAGGAAACATTTGGGCCGGTTTCTGAGAGGAAGGACATCAGGCCGACAGGCATCAAGAAACCCAGAAACGGTGATATGGAAACACCTTGGAGGGTGCAGGGGGTGGCGCAGGGTGGCAGGAATAGACTGTAGAAACAGGTTGAGAATCCCTGAATGCCCTGCTAGCAGGTCTGGACCTTGTCTTCTCTTCCCCTAGGGGTCTAGGCCCTTGAGTCTAGGGCCTTTCTTGGCAATGTGGTCAGGCCCGTGGCTTGGGAAGACCACTTCGGCACAACTGAAATGGAGGAAGACCAGTTAAAATCGAGGCCATGTCCGTTCCTCAGAAGGCTTACGTCACACCCATACAACATTTAAAACACAATTTAGAAGCAAAATCTGCCAGGACTAACAGGAGAAATGGGCAAATCCACAAATGTAAGATGTCAACACTCCTAAGCAATTGACAGGACAAGTAGATAAAAAAATGAGGATAGAAAACCTGAACACTGTCAATCAACCTGACGTAGCTACCACCGACGGAACACTCCACACACAGCAGCAGATACACCGTCTTTTCAAGCACACACAGAAACTTTCACCAAAATAGACCATATTTGGGGCCGTAAAAGTAAGTCTCAACGAATTTCAAATAACTGAAATTATATACATAGAGTATGTTCTCTGACCACAACAAAACTCACTTAAAAATCAGTAACAAAAAGATAGCCAGAAAATCCATAAGCATTTGTAGTTAAACAACACACTTCCAAATAACCCATGGGTCAAAGAAGAAATCATAAGGAAAATTAGAAATATCTTTAATTGAATGACAAGAAAGCACAACCTATCCAAATGGGATATAGCTAAAGCAGCATTGGACTGGAATTTGCAACTGTAAAGGCTTAAACTGAGAAAAAAGAAAGGCTTAAAATCATCTTGAGAGACTGGGGGAAAACCCCCAGCAAATTAAACCCATACTAAGCAGAAGAAATAAATTAGTAACAGTACGAGTGGAAACCGATGCAATAGAAAAAGCAACTCAAAAATCAGACTTCATATAAAGACCTGGATTTCTGGCTTCTCAGAGGTTCTGGCAGTAGTGGGCCCAAATTCTGACACGGCAGCGATGGCTGGCACCATGAAGCCACCCTTCAGGCAGGGCAGACACACAGACCCCAGTTCTCCACAGGGGTCACCACTCCCCCTTCTGCCACACTAAGTATCCTGACTCCCTCAGGCCCCTGAAGCGTCTGCGGCCCAGAGATGGGCCCCTGTGGTACCAAGAAATGTGGGAAAGAGGGAAAAAGGAGACAGAGCTGATTTGAGGTCCACTTCGGCACAGCGTCTCAGGGCTTGTGGACGTGAGGGAAGAGGGCAGAGTTGAAGTGGCCTGGCTCTCAAGTCCAGCCGCGGTAATTATGACAGGGGTGCCTTCTGCTGCTCTGGAAAAGGGAGGCTCTGGGAAGGAGGGACAGAAGGTTCTGTCTTGGACAAGTTGAGTGTGAGGTGTTTCAAGGACAACCAGAAATGGGAGATTTTGAACGGGCACTTCAAAATATGGGTGTGGAGATCCAGAGAGATGGAGCAGAAAGACAGCTTTGTGCAGAGCAGGGGGCGGGGGAAGCCCTGGGAGGACATCAGGGGGCAGTCTCTCCTTTTTGAAATCACATACTTTTCTGGATAAAGCTCGCAGACGCACTCCCGGGAGAAACAACAAACACCGACAACCGGGGATAGGGTCTCGGGGATACTGACCATCCCTGGGCCTGATGTTTCACTCTCCTGAGACCCCTAGAAGAAGGGGCTGGACCTCAAGAAACGCTAACAGCCAAAGCACTTTCCAAACCTCACCCATTGTGAAGAGTCACCTGGGGAACTTGTTGAAACACAGACTCCCAAGCTCCCCCTCCGACCTACCCATTCAGCACCTCGTGAGGACAGCCGTGACTGTGAAGCCCTGCCCTCAGGAGCAGGCTGGAAAAGAGAATCAGAGCAGGGAGAGCAGAAAGGAACATTCCCAAAAGGAGGGGAAAGGGCAGGGTCAGATGCTTGGAGCACAGACAGGAAAGGAAGCCAGTGGATTTGGCAATGAGGTCATCACGAGTGACCTTAAATGAGCCGTTTTGATAGAGAAATGAGCCAGACTGCCAAGGGTATGGGGAGGCCAGGCAGAGGGTGGGTCAAACACTCTGCAGGTTAGGAGAGAGTGGACAGGCCACAGCTGGAGGGCAAGGGCAAGGTCACAGCAAGACTGATTTTTACAGGATGAGGAGGAGTCAAGACTTTGGAGCTGGATTAATCCAGTGAGAGGCAGAGTGCGAGGAGGGTGGAGGGTGGCTGGCTGGTCTCCCGAGAATCGAGAATCGTTAGCCGTGGTCTTACCAGACGGCATACCACCCTGCTGGGGGCTCACGACTCAACGTGCTGCACCCTCATTACGAGCCTCTGGGGTAGTCAGTCATGTTAACGCATTCTTAAGAAGACTAAACAGGCGCAGAGGTTAAGAACCAGCCCAAGGTCATACAATCAGTACGCAGTAGAGCCAGGACTGCCCAGGTAGCCAACTGGAGACCCCTGAAACCCATCACACCCAAAACCAAGCTCACACTCACCCCTTCCCTTTAAATGAACCTGACCCCGTCATGAAAGCCTGATTCACGAAATCCTGATTCTGCAGCCTTGTGCTCTTCCGCCCCACAGCTCGGGCCCCCACAAGCCCCGTTCAGGCCCCGCCCTGTCTGAGGCCCACAGCTGCAGTCAACTCTTGTTTCCCTAAGCTCTGGTGCCCCATCACCCTCACCATCCAGCCTCCACACACAATCCCTCTGCTTACTTCCCCTCGAAGCAGAATAAAAATCTAGGAATGGGGACCCCGGGAGGGCCTCTGACGAGGCCCCACGTGACCCGGCCCTGGCCAGGCTACCCGCGACCCCACCAACTTCCTCTTATCTTTCCTGAAACCTGCTCTTCTTCAGACACACCAAGTCTGCTCCAGCCCAGGCCTGGGGGTTTGCTCTTGCTTGTCCCTCACTGCCTGGGACTCTTCCCATTCAGGGCCCTGCCCAACCGTCACTTCTAGAGAGGCCTACAGAGCACACTGCCGCCATAACCCTCCATCTCCTTACCCGGGCTCATCTTCCTTCACGTGACACATGACTTACGCTCCCTGACGTCTTATTGTAGCTTTCTGTAGTTTCTGTCTCTCCCACCAGAATGAACACCCTGTGAGAGCCAAGGTGTCTGTTCCATTATCTGCTGCTGTATCTGAGGCCTAGAACAGGGGCTGGCACACAGCATGTATGTGCTGAATGAATGCCTGAACCCACTGAGCAGCTTAGATCACAGCCGCGTAAGCCCACCCCCCAATCAAACACCTTTAGGACTCTCAGGTCCTCGCCCTGACGTTCAAGGCCTTCCTTGACCCTCCCGGCTCTCTCCTCCCGAGCGCTCCACACAGAACCCCTCTGCTTTAACCAAACCAGCACCCACGAGGCAACCTCACTCTACGCTGCCTTCCTGTGCTTCCCTCTGCTGGACAGGCACTCCCAAAGGCCACTTCCCTGGGGGAAACGTCACCTGATCCCCCAGTCAGTGTTCAGTCAAACAGCCTGAACTACTCTGAGCTTCCTGGACACTCCAAACTAGGCCCCAGACCTGGCACGGGGCATGTACTGCCCAGCCTAGTATCCACCTCCAGGAAATATCTGCTGAATGATGGCTATTTGGGTGGAAGTGTCCCCTGGACATGCTCTGGCCTCAGCCAGAGACATGGACTTCTTGCAGTCTCATCTTCAGATGTGCTCTCTCTCAGACCAGAGCTACTCCTGGAAGCTAGGCTGGCAGAGGCGTGGGGGGCTTGAGCAAAACAGCTGCTTCGTGGGAAGGCAGGTCCAGGTGAGCCAGACCAACCCAACTTTCCAAGAGGAGCAGGAAATCCATACGTGAACGTGAAACTTGCCATTTAAAACATTAGTAATTAATTCAAAGTCACTAGCCAGGATGTTAAACACACTGCAGCTCACACCTCCTGCCTATTTGCTCGCGACAGCGAACCTCCACACTTCTGCTTTTCCAGCATTCGACAAGCACCTCTCACGCACTTGTCGCATGCCTGCTGATCTGTGACTCCAAGCACCGGGCCAGGCTGTGCCCATGAGGCCCAGCAGCTCCACCCTGACCTTACCTTCATTATGTTGAGCTCTCCTTCTCTCATCCCGTGGTGTCCTGGTTCCGTCGATTTTCCTAGAAAAGAAAAAATAGGCGCATGTTACCTCCAGCCTATTGGTCCAAATGTTTATTAAGGAGTCAGACTTAAAAATGATCTCTGCAACACATGTCCATATGCAAAGAGAAAAAGAGAAAAAGAGAGAGAGAGAAGAGAGAATATGGCATTTTCTTTACTTAAACTAAAGAAACAAAAACCGACCAAAAAATACACCAACTGCCTGCCATGTACTCAACTGCCTGGCTCCGATTTCAAAAACACATTCCCTTCCTTGGGCCCCCACACCAGGCCCTCCCAGTGTCCCCTACTCCTGGGACGAGGTCTCCTGCACATACGGGGAGTAGGGGTGTGTCCGGGGTGCAATTGTCCTCTGCGTTCCTGTCTGAAGCACGTCCTGCGGCGTCATCATGACATAGAACTGGCCTGCAGGGAAAGCAGGGATTAGTGCTAAAACTGGGGACAGAGTCAAAAGTGGCTGGGGGAGCTTCCCTCCCTGCTAGGCCTGTTGCCTCCCCTGCCTTCCGCCCTGGCCCCTTCCTTCCTTTACCTCCAGCCTGCAAGCTCTGGTCTGTGGTCTGTACGGACACAGCCGTGGTATCTCCCACACTGGACGCTGGGAAATAGGCAAATCGTGCCTCCCCACTGACAGCCTCAGCTGCCGGGCTGCCACCATTGCTGAAGGGATTTTGGATTACAGCCTAGGGAGTAGGAGGACAGAGGCCACCCTTAGCCATCTTTGTTCCCCAATCCATCCCCTAGTTGCCATATTTGATGTTTACTGCATTCTTTAGGGGGAGTGGGGAACCCCTCTGTGTGTGCCACTCTACCCGGTGTCTCACAGCCCTGGAACTAGACAGATACTCAACAATCACTTAGTGAACTGACCCACTTTTAACCCTTAAGAGACTTTCCTGTTACCGTGATCCCCCTTTCACAAAAAAAAAAAAAAAAAAAAAAAAAAAAACATGTTCCAAAGATCTTGCCCCAGGTTTCACTGTGCAGAACAGAGATTGTACCTGAGAGCCTGAAGGCAGCATCTTGGTCCCACGTGCCCCACCCTCTGGGGCTCCCCCAAGAACAGTCAGTGTCCCTTCTCCATCCCCCCAGGGGTTGCTGGGCACCTACCAGTGGGAAGGGCGCTGCGGGACCTGGGGGCACAGAGGCAGCAGCGGGGCCGGGGCGCTGGGTGGCCCCATCCACACCCACCTGGGTCACAGCCTGCTGGCCCCCCGCGAAGGCAGCCGTAGACACGAC